TCATGCTGATATAGTTTGCAGTAAGTTCCTCGTAGTTTCCCTGTAGTTTTTGGTAATTCTCTCTGAGCTCAGTCAGCTCATTGAGCTTTCTTAGAACCGTTGTTTGGAACTCAATATCTGATAGTTTACTTGCCTCTATTTCGTTTAGTTTTTTTGTGAGGATTCCTCCTTTCCCTTCTAGTGGGGCTTATTTCTTTGTCTTCCCATTATTTGATAGAGACTCTTCTCTTTTACTTCTGTTTCTTAAGTTGATCTGTCTTGATTTCCTGACTTTGTGGTATGAACTTATATGGTTGGAGACCGCTGTTTTTACTTTCTGGATCTGCCTCTGATGATGTCAAATGTCGTCCCTGTCTGACCTTAAGCAGTCTGTTTGAGACATCCAGTAATCTACTGTTTGTGCCTGTCTCCTTCAGCTGTTAATCTATTCACTCTGCACTCAGCAGGGTGCCTTAGATAGCTCATGGAGGGGCAGAGTCCCTCCTGGGGGCGGGGTTATTAGGTCCTTTTATGCTACTGCCGTATGGGGGACGAGTCCACACTGGAATCCCATTCTCTCCCCAAAGCCTCCATCCCCAGTGTCTCCTCAAGTGTCACCAGACCTCTCTGCACCTCATTTAGCCAGGAATCTACTGTCCGTGGCTGGCACTCTGCACTCAGCAGGCAGCTTAGACAGCATAGGGCGGGGTAGAATTTCACCTGGGGGTGGGACTATTTGGTCCTTTGACGCTGGTGCCACTCAGAGGGTATGGTCTCTGCCTGAGCAAGATGGCTACTGCCGCATGAGGGATGAGTCAACACCAAGATCCCTCTGGCTGCTCTTTCAGTTCTCTCCCCAAAGCCTCCTTCCCCACTCTCTCCTCAGACATCTCTAGCCCGCTCTGCTCCCGTGTTTGCTGGAGACCAGGGTAAGTGGCTGCAAATGAAAATTTATGCGTTGGCCTTCTGAACAGTTCTTTGGGTTTTCAGCTACCTGACTGTGGTAGAGAGCAACCCTGCCACTTTTCATAGCTCTCTGTTTTCTCTGTACCTTTTGGGCTGTGGTGCTGTGGGCCAGAGATCCCCGCTTTTGGTTTAGACCATGCTCTTCTCAGGGGAATCCAACTGGCCGTTTCAATATCCTGGTGCTGCCACCCTTGGGCACCCCGCCCGCCTTCTCAGGTCTGTACCATACTCCTTACCAGTTAGATTGCGCTAAAGCCGATTCTTCTGTCTCCGAAGTTACAAGGCTCCTCTCTCGCTCTTGTTCAGTTGTTTGTTCCACGTGATTTCTCCACAATTTAGGTGTAATTCCAGATTTTTCCTGGGAGGATATCAGTGTGACTTCCACTCACTCCTCCGCCATATTGATTCCCTCTCTTTTCTATATATGACTATAAAATATCACTCTACTGCCAAGCAATGAGAACACAAATGTTTTTATTCTTATCTCTGATATTTTAGATTTTTTAATCCTCAAGTAAGGATTAAAAGAAAAGCAACAGTTTCTTCAAGCTAGAGGCATCATACTCCCTGACTTCAAATTATACTAGAAATCTCTAGTAATCAAAACAGCATGGTATTAACACATAAGTAGATCAATGGCATAGAATTGAGATCCCAGAAATAAACGCACACATATATGGCAACTAATTTTCAACCACGGAGCCAAGAATATACATGGAGAAAGGAAAGTCTCTTCAATAAATGGTATTGGGAAAACTGGGAAGCCACATGCAAAAGAATGAAAGTAGACTGCCATCTGACACCATACACAAAAATTAACTCATAGTGAATTAAAGATTTGGGTATGAGACCTGAAACAATAAAATGCCTAAGAAGAAAACATAGGCACTAAACTTATGGACTTTGGTCTCAGACAAGTTTTTGTGATATTGGCCATATAGACAAGGGAAGAAAAAGCAAAAATTAAAAAAATGGGACTACATCACACTAAAGAGCTTCTGCATAGAAAAAGAAACCATCAATAAAACAAAAAGGCAACCAACCAAATGGGAGAAAATATTTGCAGATGATATCTCCAATAGGGGCTAATATCCAAAATATATAAAGAACTCCTACAACTCTAATGACCATAGCCACACATATACAAACAATCCAATTTTAAAAATGGGCAGAGGACCTAAATAAATACTTTTCCCAAGAAGACATACAGATTGCCAGCATATGTATGGAAAAGATGTTCAACATTGCTAGTTATAAGGGAAATGCAAATCAAAACCATATTGAGATACCAATTCACACCTGTTAGAATGACTATTATCAATAAATCAAAAAATAACAAGTGTTGGAGGAGAGAAGAGAGAACACTCATGCACTGCTGGTGAGAATGTACATTGGTGTAGCCCCTATGGAAAACGGGATAGAAGTTCCTCAAAAAATTAAGAATAGAACTACCATATGACCCAGAAATCCCACTTCTGGGTATCTACCTGAAAAAGTTTGAAAACATTTATTTTTAAAGTTACATGTACCAATATAATCATTGAAGTATAATTTATAATAACCAAGACATGGAGACAACCTAAATGTCCTTTGATGGATTATTGGGTAAAGATGATCTACATCTAGACAATGGAATACTACTTGGCCATTAAAAAGATGAATTATTGCCATTTGAGAAAACATGGATAGATTTTGAGATTACTATGCTAAGTGAAATAAGACAGAAAAGGACAAGAATTCTGATTTCACTCATGTGGGATATAACACAAAAAACAATAAATGAACTAACAAAACAAAAGGGTCATAGATACAAACAACAGGATGGTTGTTATCAAAGGAAAAGGGGGCTGGGGAAGGATGAAGAGGGTATGGGAGGTCAAATACAAGGTGACAGGAGACCAGACTTCCAATGGTGAACACACGATAAGTTATACAGATATCGTATTATAAAGTTGTATATCTGAAATTTAGGTAATGTTATTAACTGATGTTACCCCAATAAATTTAATTAAAAAATAGGTTGTTAGATGAATTATCATGGGAAGGCCTGATAGATCTGTGTGTGTGTGTGTGTGTGTGTGTGTACAAATACATATATGTAAATGAACATAAATGATACACCATTAGGGAAGTTTAATTTATATAGGACAAGATTAAGATTTTCTCCATCTCTGATATTTTTTAAAGATATTATTTATTTATTATTAGAGATAGGGGGAGGGAGGGAGAAATAGAGAGAAAGATTTATGTGCAACAGACACATCAATTGGTTGGTCCCCACTGGGGACCTGGCCCACAACTGATGCATGTGTCCTGACTGGGAATTGAACTGGTGACCTTTCAGTTCACAGGCCAGTGCTCAATTCACTGAGCCACACCAGCCAGGGCTCTGATATTATTTGATTCTATAAATACTAGCATTATATTGCCATAATTAAAAGAAGAATTTAATCTGCATGAAGGAGGATCAGAAAACCAATGTCAATATTCTAAAGTTTGGTATTTTGGATACCCATAAGCACAAATGAATTGGTGCATTGCATACAAATGCTATTTCATCTGCTCTGCTAGATCAAATGCTATTCTAGAGGTGCAAAGCTAGAGCAGGAGGAGTCACTGACATAATTAAACCTTCAAGGCATCTGTGCCTCTAGTGGTTGACTAGCAATTTCACTTGTTCTGCATCCAGAAAGAATAATTACAGCTTAATTATTAGTGCCACAGTTAGAAATTAAGCTGGACTCCTTAGGTAAAAGTCTGTGGGATAGGAGGATGAGTGTAAAAGAAACTGGGAAGACATGATCAAAGTCTGAAGTAGTTTGTGGAGGAAAGGTCAGATTTTTCTGGTTTTGTTAATAAATTACTCAAAAGTAAAATTGGTGAAAATATTGTTGTGTGGAGTATCTGAGAGTTTCCTGCTTATGTTCTCCTCTAGGACTGTTATGGTATCATGATTTATATTTAAGTCTTTTATCCATCTTAAGTTTATTTTTGTGTATGGTGTAAGTTGGTGGTCGAATTTAATTTTTTTGCATGTAGCTGTCCAGATCTCCCAACACCAAGGAATTGTATTCTTAACTATTTTGCATTCTTTTTTTTTTTTTTTCTGAACGACCCATGGACAAGGACAACAGGGTGGGGAATGACTGTGGGAGCAGGGGTTGGGGGCGAACTGGGCAGAGGAGGGCAAGGGGGGGGATTGGGAAAACTATAGTAGAAAAACAATAAAATATTTTTTAAAATAAAAGATTTTATTTATTCATTTTTAGAGGGAGGGAGAAAAAGAGTGAGAGAAACATCGATGTGAGAAACATGGATTGGTTGCCTCTCACATGCGCCCCAATCAGGGACTGAACCTGCAACGCAGACATGCGCCCCGACTAGGCACCGACCAGCAACTCTTTGCTTTGCCCAGCCAACTGAGCCACACCAGTCAGGAAATAAGATTGTTTTTATTGTGCAAAGTTAATATGGAACCATTTAATGGTTTGACTGGTGACTGGGTGATTTTATATTCTGTGCTGTCCAATATAGTAGCCAAGAGCCACACAGGGCTATTGAGCAATTACAATGTGCCTAGGCTGAATTGAAATGTGCTATAACTGTAACATGCATAATGGATTGTGAATATTTAGATAAAAAGTGATTATAAAATATCTCAGTAATGTTTGAATTGGTTACATATTGAAATGATAATTTAAAAGTTAAGAAACAGGTGAAATTAATTATAATATTATATTTTATTTTATTCTCTATTTCCAAAATATTTTGCATTCTTTTGCAGTACTCCAGCACTGCCTTTCCCATCTTGTAATGTGTTGCTCTCACTTCTCCAGCTTTAGCTTTTACATAAATATTCTTTGAATGAACTAGTCTCTCAGACCCAACCCTTTCTTTTCGTATAGATTTCAGCTTTGCTCTGAGTCAGGCAGTGCCTGAAGCCAACACCCACAGGGTTAAACCTAGTTCCTGAAGCCACCCCCCTCCTATTCCCCTTTTCCCAGTAGGCTGGCAGTTGTCCCGAGTGCTTACCAAAGCCAAGTGCTTGAAGAGAGAGAAAGACACCAGCGATGAATCCTTTCCAGAAAAATGAGTCCAAGGAAACTTTTTTTTCACCTGTCTCCACTGAAGAGGTATCACCTCGATGTCCCAGCCTTCCAAAGAAGCCATCTCCGGTGAGTCCCCAGATTCATTTATGCCTCTAACAGGGGTAGACTTGCACTTTTGGCTCTCTTCCTTTGCCTCTTGGAGCTTCAGGCTGAACCACATTAGGTTATTACAGCTATTCTTTCCTGGAGTTAGAATTAACATGAAAACCAAATCTAAACAGAGGTTTCCTTTACTTAGGAGATGAAACAGCAAGAAGAGGTAGTCAAAGTTCTTCATTTGAGATTCAGGATTTGCTGTATGTCATTGCATGTATATTCTGAATTTATCTGGGGCAAAGGGGGAAAAAAGTAATTTAAAAGTCCAGGGAAACTTGGCAAGGACTCCTGTCTGGAGAACTGTGTGTGATTGTTCTCTCTCTACCAGTATAAAAACTCAGCCCTTAGCTCCCCCTGTGTGCAGAGTCAGGCTGGACATCAAGAGAAATTTTAGAATAATAGATCCAGTCTCTGTTACTATGTGTCCGGCTTACAGTGGGACACAGGATAGAGAAACAAAGAAGTAATAACAGTATTTTGCATTATATACTTGTTTAAACACTTCCAAATTCATTATCTCATGGAATCTTCACATCAAATTCCTGTAGTTGAGAGGGTACAGTAATAATAGCCAATAATTACTGAGTTCTTAATATGGGCCAATAGGTGGTATTATTCTCATTTCTTTGGAATAAAAGAACTGAGGCATCATGACAGGTGTAGTGACATACCAGGGTCAGCATGTTAAGCCAGCGAGTGACAATATTACATAGCTAGTGAAGTGTGTTAACAAAATGTCAGTTTGAGTAATTCTCAGACTGTGAGCTGGGAAGGTAAGAAGCCAGTTCATCATGTCTTTCAAGCAAGTTATGGTCATACATTTACATAATATTTAAGACAGTTACTTATATCTATCCATATGGATAAAAGAATGGAAAAAAATTTTTGTTACTTTATCTATTTATTTATTTTGTTATAGATCTTCTGATCGCATACAATCTGTCTGCTTACAAAGATGCATAAATTTCTTATGAAATAAGAGGCAATACAAATCTCATAAGATTTGGCTCTTCCAAGGACATATCTTTATCCCCCCCTTCACATTTGTTGGGCTATCATAATGGGTAGGGATTCGAAATAAAAGATAACATTCCTTATATTCTGACTGATACAGTGCATGAAATAGCATAGTCCTTTTAATATCCAATAGAATTACAAAAAATATTACCAAATTTCTTTCAAAGGATGAATGGACATTTAATTTTACAAGATTTAAGAACTCTCTGCCTAAGGTCAAGGCGATCAATCAGCTTACCTTTAGCTATCTGTGTTGGGCTCTGAGCCTTATTCCAGCAGCCTCTGTAGGGAAACCATCATCACATTGCCAGGATTCCTCCCAGCATGGCAAAAAGGGCAGGTGGGGACAAGGAGGTTAGTTTGCACAGAGGAGCTAAGCAGGTTACCAACATGTAAATGTAACTGTGTGGATATCAAGTGCTCTCTATATAGGCCACCTCTTCGTTCTGTTTCTAGAAATAAGTAATGACTAATCTGCTCAGGCTTTTCAGTTAGTAGGTGTGGGAAGATAAGCAGGCCCTGTGTCTAGGATCAAGGAATGTCTGGACAGTTCCATGATAAATGAATGAGGAACAAGTCACATTCCGAATAGCTTCTATCATTCCTAAATCAGCAGTGCAAACACTTTTAGTAAATAGTAGCTGTTTCATGAAGAATAGGCACCATTGCTTCACATTCCTTATCATGGTGACTTAAAATAAATGAATTTTTCTGCTGTGAAACAACATAGTGGTTTAAATGGGGCAGGGGAAGGGGGAAGCTTATGTTTGAACCATTGTCTTTTCTGCTTCATAGAAAATCTTTGGCTCCAACTATCCACTGAGCATTGTCTTCATTGTGGTGAATGAATTCTGTGAGCGTTTTTCCTATTATGGAATGAAAGGTAATTTTGTATCTCACAGTCTTACTCTTCTCTACTCATCCTCACTCCATGTTTGTAATGTCTGGTCTTCTTGTATGCATTTATTTCCTTTATGCACTCTTTCTGTCTTCATCCAAATTGGTCCTTTCCTTTGGCCAAGACTTAACAATAAATGCCTCATGGGATTTCTCCTAATAAGTGATACAGGGCAAGAATAGAAAGGCCTAACAGAAACCAAAACAGGGTCTGTGAGAATGTAAACTGGAAAATGTTCACTATCTGAATTCCATTTTTCATATCTCTTCCTCAGTTCTATGAACTGTATTGTTGCTGAGAAGGAGAAGGAAGGGATATTAGAAGTACCATGTTATATGTATGGCCTTAATGATGGTATGTGTGCACATAGACTGAAGGGAAGAATATTGAATTTGTAGACTAAACATCACCCCATTCACAGCTCCCATGGGCCCTGCTTCTAGTGCCTGGCAGTCACTCCTCAGTCCTTCACTGAAAGGAATATTGAAGGCCAAGATCACCTTCAAAGACCAGAGATCAAATGTACTTCTCTTCCATAAGTCAATTTAATGCATCTATCTTATTTTGCCTCCCTTTTTTCACTTTAGCGGTGCTGACCCTGTACTTCCTGTATTTCCTGCACTGGAATGAAGATACTTCCACATCTGTATACCATGCCTTCAGCAGCCTCTGTTATTTCACTCCCATCCTGGGGGCAGCCATTGCTGACTCATGGTTGGGAAAATTCAAGTAAGGAAGATGGAAGATCACATCCCCAAGAGCTTCACAGATTAATTGAGCAGAGGTTACCACTTAGAGCCTCTTCTTCCAAACAAGAATATATTGTGTCATCCATGACAAATAGAATCTCTCTAAGACAGACATTGTCAGTTTTTCCATTATTTTTACATCCTTTTCAATCAGGAGTTTTTTACTTTCTTAAATCTAATTTTAATCCTCTGTCCTGTAGTTTAAACCCAGTTCTTATTCTGATCTCAGGGGGAAAAAACATTGCTACCCACAAGAAAATTTATAATTTATAATTTTAGAGACCTCAGTGTAACTATTTGATATACTCTCCATCTCCTCTCCATATTGAATCATCCCAAGTCCTTTGGTATCTTCCTATGAGTCCCTTTTTCCTGTTCTATTACCATCTCTTTTTCTCTTCTCTAACCTCTTCCTGTTGAGAATATAAATGTTTTTATGAGTTAGGCTAATGGTCAATTCAATTGAGTTGAATCTTTTAAGTCCCTGAAAATAGCACCAAGAGACACTAAGAAAATAGCACCTACTATAGTTATCCCCTATAACATTATCCTCATAGGCTAGAGATGGATCTTAGATATCCATCACTCAGTTATTTTCTGTGGATTTGTCCCCTATAGATTTATCTAAATTAGCATTTCTCAATCCTGTTGAAAATTGGTTGTATAGGATATAATGAGTATTGTGTAGGAAAATAAAGATCTCATGGTGAAATAAGTTTGGAAAATGCAAGGCTGAATGAAGCTTAAAATGTTTCTTTACTGCAAGACTTGTAGACTTTAACATGCTAATATGCACTGTAAAATCTCAAAAAGAAGGCTATGTCACTTAGTGTTTCCCAAACTTGTCTGATCATAGAATATTATTTCAGGGTATCTTGTGGACCTACTGTTTCAAGGAATCCTCTTTAGTAAACATTGGTTCATATCTCATTGTTCCAAAGTGTTTGATCGGCATCTTATGTATAGTTACAACCTATATATAAAGTACTAAACAGTTTTCTGACTTGAAAGGGGGGTGGTGAGTGGATGGCTGAGATGTATGTATGCTCCTTATGTAGTATTCGTTTCCAAGTCCATTCATATAAGGGACTGGCACTACCTGCAGAATAAAAAGAATAAGCTGTGGTCTCTATTCAGTTATAGAATAGAAGACTTACATATATAACTAGTACTGTACTTTTATCTATTTTTAAATGACTTCCTTTAAAATTAAAAGAGCATAGCTCTGGGATTTGGTGAACAATAGCTTCCTATCAATTTCAGAGGAAATATAACAATCTCCACTTACACTCTCTGTCTCAATCCTTTTTGAGGTATTCTTTATTTTTTTAAATTATTTTTACTGAGGTAGGACTCATATAAAGTACAAAAATCCAAAGGTCTTAAGTGTATGGCTTGATGAATTTTTGCGTATGTATCACCATTACCTACATTATTCTCCCTAGGCTTTTTGTTCCCCTCAATATTCCTCTCTCTTGCCTTCAAATTATCCCTTAGAAGCAGGTGAAGATCTCTGATAGCTTTAAACAAACAGAACTATTGTTAACCCTCCTTTCAAACTGTCTTCTTTTTCTTATTACCATTATTTCCAAACTTTAAAAAGAATCATCTATATTTGTTGCTTTCCTTTCTTACTGTTCATTATCACCCATTAAGGCAGAGTAATATAAGGTAATGCAGTAGAATCCAATTCAATTTAATTTAATCTGATAGCATTTAATTCAGTAAATGTTTGTCAAACATCTATTTGTTCAAAAAAATACGGGGGATCAAGAGTTAGATAAGACACAAATACCTGCTTCATATTGTTCATATGCAACTACTTTAAATGCAGAGCAGCAGATTTTGGTAAGTACAATAAAATACAGCATAAATCATCTCTTTATCCTGTTGAAATTCTTCCCTCTAAGATCATTGACAATGCTTTTTTTGTTAACAAATTCTGGTGGTCTTTTCTAGATTCTTATCCACTTTGTACTTGTTTTAACATTTTAGTCTGTTTATCATTCCTGTATTCTTGAAAATTCCTGGGCTTCTCTAACACTGCATTTTCTGGTTTTCTTCCTCATATTTTTTTTTTCTTCCTTAATTGACTTCTGTTTTTTCCCTTTTGTTTACCTAACTCATTCCTGATTGTAGGCATTTCTGCAGGGTGTATCATTTTCTCTTTCTCCAGATTCTCTTTTAGCAGTCCTATGGTGTCAATATTAGCTATATGCAGATAGTTCCTCAAACTCCATAATCTGAACTTCTCACTCAGTATGCATTATAACTGCATCTTGCCATTTATCTCCTGGATGTTCTACTTTATCCCACTTTCCAAACCTATACCACCCACATTCAGTCAGTTATCAAATTCTACCAATTCAATTTCTACACTATCTCTCACATTTATCACTCTTCAACAGTGAATCTCACTGCCATTTATTGCCACTACTCAAGTTTTGGTCTTCATTACCTCTAAATTGGGCTATTGATGTGGACACCTAAAATGTCATCATCACTTCCCATATCTTTTTCTTAGAATTGAGCCTATGCACTACTACTATGCCAAATTAATCTTCCTAAAAGAAGTCTCTGTTCACATTACTACTCTGCTCAAAATTTTCTGATGACTAATCCATTTCTACTAATCTCAACCCAACTGACCTTTCTGCTCTTTTTGTCATACTTCCTTTGAAGAATATTTTTTAGAGAAAAATGAATACTACTAATATTTCCCTAATAATAGTCAGTGCATATCTTACCTATTCTGTTTGCCCTGTTTCTACTTTGTGGAATCTCTTTTCTGCCCATCCTCCCTTGTCCAAACTGTTTAAGGCTCAGTTCAAATGCCTCCTATGTTATGGATTATTCTCTGCTCCTCACCTTTCACTACTAGTCAGAAGTAATCTAATCTATGAACTTATTTTTTATCCTCATATGGCATTTACTAAATTCTTATCTTCTTATAATTATTCATGTAAAAGTCTAATATTTTCTTCTAAATAGAGAATAAAGTCTCATCTATATTTTTATCCCCAGCATCTAGAAGAGTGCTTGATAAATGTTTCAGTTAATAAATCTATTCACCCTCAATGTAGTCACAAGACTGATAGCTGTGGGCTGGCAGGAAGGTGACCTTTATCTCTACTGTTGGTTCTCATATCCTGTAACCCATGCCTATCAGTCGGACTCGATATTGACAATCACTTACAACCACTCTCTTAAATGTGTTTATTACCAAATATGCTTTTAGATGTCCTATCTACACTTCTGCTTTCTCTTTCTCCTAGTGGGTCTATAGCACTTTCTCCTCCCTTCTATCTTTTCTGTCTGGTTAGAGCTGATGCTCTTCACACCAGGTCTCTTCCTTTGTGATCACTGCACATACTCTTCAGTTTCTAAGCTCTAATTAAAATTAGTTCTGGAGGTGAAATAAAATGTAAAAGTTCTTCTTCTTTCCTCTTCTATTTCTACATTAACTTGGGCATGATAACATGAAAGGAACACTAGTCTATGAATTAGAACATTAGAAGTTCTAGACCTAATCCTAATACTAATTGGAATGTCACTTTAGGACTATCAAAACTTTGACCCCTCTGATTTTATTTTCCTTATTTGCAAATGGGAGTCTGTTTAAAACAGTTCTGTGTTATATGTTTGGAATTACAATGATCCCAATGATCTCATTTCAAATGTGGAATTTCCAAGTCTTTCTTGACTTCTTTCTCCTTCTATTACTTTCCTGCCATTAGCTTCCTCTCTTATATTCTTCATATCCTTAACCTTTCACCTAGAAAGATGACTATTTTCCTTCTAAGCCATGTATACTTCTCTCACTCATTTAGTTCAATAATTTGATATTGCTCTGATCTCCCTACTCAGATGCTATTACTCCAGCTCAGACTCTGTTTGCTTTTTCTCTCTGATGATCTAACATAGATCATCTCTTTTGTATAGCTGGCCTTTTTTCAGTTCCTTTTCATTCCCATTCTTTCTATTCTTTTTATTCCAAAAAAGAGAACTTTTCTCTAGAAGACCCTACCTGCAAAATGTTTTGCAAAATGCTGCCCCTTCGTTCTCATTTTAATTAGCCCTTCTGATAGTAATTAGTCACCCAATTTTTTATCCTCTACTTGCCATTATGAATCTTCTAAGATCCCTTCCCTGGAGAGCCAACCTAGGAAGATTAGACATTTAGAAAGAGAAATCCACACCTAAATTTCTGGTATTTTCAGCCTCTCTCTTTGATACCTTCATTTTATTCATTATATTTCACATTAGCATGTAATACTTTAAAATTACAGATATAGAATTTCCAAGTTTCCTACTAACATTCTACTTATACATAAAGAGAATAATAGTGTGGTGATAAACATAAAGAGTGTGTTGTATATATGGTCATATGATTAATTTCAGTGTGTATATTTCTACATATGTTCTTACCAGAATTTCTCACTCTTTTACTTTCTGTTTGCCATTCAGATTTCTCTGGCTCCTTTCCTACACTTGGTTAAAACCTCTAACATTCAGGGCAAAGAGTTCCTCTCTCTTTTTCTGGTCTGTTTACTTCATTTGCCTTTATTATTTCTATTTGAATTTCCTAGGTAATTTTTCCCTCCTCCCATCTTATGTATCCTGGCAATGAGAATAGTATGAACTCTGAGTTTATATTACTCAAGTCTCTGAATGCTGTTTCTAGGCTGACTAATTTAACTCTCTCAACAGGACAATTATCTCTCTATCTTTGGTGTATGTGCTTGGCCATGTGATCAAGTCCTTGGGTGCCTTACCAATACTGGGGGGACACGTAGTACACACGTGAGTAAAATCATGGAATAAACTGAACCATTTTCTTCCATTAGGTAAACATCTCATGTATTCATTACAGATTATTTTCCATTTTCTTATCAAAGAAGTCCCTTTATTTTATAACCTACTGTTGTTTTATTACCAAATTGGTTAAGAAAAAATTATTTACCAGTCAAACTCTTTCCTATTTTATCTGAGTTAATTTGTTTTTATTAATATTTGGAGACTTGTAGAATGCCTAGTTACTATCCTCTTCATAAAAACTCATCATGTGCTTGAAGATAAACATTAAAACCTTTATGCCCTGAATATTCCCTCACCTATTTACCTATCCATATATCTGTACTTTACCAGGGTCAAAAAAATGTCTGTAATATTTCCTTATAATTCATTATAGAAGTCATATTCAAAGCTTGGATATTTTTTCATTTATGTGTAGTTCCATATATTCCAGATGCTCTACCCATTTTTACTACAGTTATTGATGTTTATGGGGCAACAAGCATTTCATAGCTTTTTATGTCAGTTCAGTCAGTAAAGATGATTACAGTTGTTTAAGAAATCGGTCATATGTATTCAGGCTTATCATGTGCCTATACATGTATTTATCCAGTAAGTTAAGAATTTTCTTTGCAATTTAATAAATATTAGATACCTCCTTATTTGTATCCCATCAAAAATCAGTGACACTGCTCCTACTAATTATAATGAATTTTAACATTGTGTTGTGTGCTTATTAATAGAATAGAAATTCATAAGGTCTTTCTGTTGAATTGCCTCTTTGACTAAAACAAGACTGGGAACCAGAGCTTTAATTTTGACGTTGCTTCAATATGTGCTTGCTTCTATTTGTTGTACACAAGGAGTAAATGAAAATGTCAGGGACAAAATCCTCCCATGTAATAAATGCATTCTGGCAGAGGCTCAAGGATCATAAATCTCTTAAGTGTCCTCAAGTCTTTCCTGGGAGTAAAAGCAGATGGAAAGTGCCCACAGGTTAGAAATGTAAAGGAAGTCTTTGCCCTTATATACTTTTTTTCCCCTCATGTAGCTCTACATTCAATTTCTACAGATGTGCTTAATATCAATATGGTTAGTGTCCTCACCTCTCCATTTCAGAGTCCTATCTTTGGTCGGCCTGAGTCTAATAGCTTTGGGGACAGGAGGTATCAAACCCTGCGTGGCAGCTTTTGGTGGAGACCAGTTTGAAAAAAACCATGTAAGAGTCCTGTTAATCCTATATTTTCAAGAATTTGGAGCAGATATTAAAAGAGGTACCTGGCATTTGCCAAGATTGAAGTATTTGACTGGTGAGATGGTATCTGAGGCATTGTGTTTCATTATGGGTGCTGGTCATTAATAGAGAGAAAAAGTGAAACTGTTCAAAGGAAAGTGACCAGGGTGGTAGATGGGCTAAAAGACACCTCTTATGAAGAAAGGTTGAGGGAAAGGGAAATATTTAGCCTAGATAAGAAAAGAATGAAAAAGAATATAATTGCTCTCTATACATTTTTGGCAAATGTCAGTAATTAAGCCTGAGACCAAAACTATAGGAAACTAGCTTTTTGCTTGATGGAAGGAAAAACTTTAAACAGGCAGAGTTTGAGGTAGTGAGTTTACTCTCACTTGAAGTATTTAAGAGAAAATGCGGTACACACTTTGGGAATGTGAGGGGATGAGTAGAGTAGAGATGATTTAAGTATCTCTAACTTTGAGACTCTATGAAAGGGCAAAATGACCAAATAGGATGAGTTTCTATAGATGAACTTGTCTGGATCAGCAATTTTCAAATGATAATGCCACAAGAATTTTCAAAACATGCAGTACCTGACTATTTAACCAGGAGCACTGATCTCTTTTCCATTAGGTTGTCAAATTAAAAAAGAAATGACAACAGGCAACACAGCAGTACCCAGCTGGTATAAATAAATCAAAATTAGACCTACTTTTTGTCAAATCAGCAAAAAATATATTTTTTGATGGGCCACAGAATTTTAGTAATTAGTTTACATGTGCAATGAGATGAGAAAGGTTGAAAATTGCTGGGCTTGATTATTCTCTCTTTTTACAAATACTTTTCATTGTCAATGGGGGAAAAAGAATATGAATAAGGTAAGAGTGGCCCTATATGAGGATGCAGTGAGAAATAAGGAAGGGCAATAGTTTATTCTTAGATCAGCCAAAATTTCTGCCTTCCTCCCTTTTGCTCTCAGTTTTCTGTTTGGTCTGTCTTCATGTATCCATTCCCTCTTCTATAGATATTTACCATGGGTCTAGTTTTTCTCCCTCTGTTTTCTCTTAGTGTCTTGTCTTCCTGAGGTCATAAGTTAAATGGTCTCTTTCCGTTCAAACCACTTTAGTAATCTTTTTATATTCTTTATATGTGTTGGCATCCATAGACCATAATTGTTTGTTGAGTTTGGAGAAATAACACAGCTTTGACAAGTGGGATTCTATACATGATGAACTATGCAAATATGTGGATGAAATAAAGTTTAAATAGAGAGCAGAAGAAGAAGTGAAATACACTATAAAATAGAAAATAGGGAGGACATTTTGCTGTGTCAGGAAAAGGTCTGGGGTGCCAAAACGAAGTACAGCAGTACACAACGAATAAAGCATTACCAACTTTATTTGAAAGTTGCTTCATTGATAACTGCTCCACAAAGATATTTAATAATAGGACACACACCCAGCTCCACAAAGATATTTAATAATAGGACACACCCACCTCCAAGTTTCCATCAGCCACTTTTCATAAGCACTAGGTGAATTACCCTACTCTACTGTCCTATGTTCTAATCCTATCCCTACCACACATTTCACAAATATCTATTATTTAAATCAATCAATCAATCAAGCATTTAATTTGGTCAATAGATATCTATTTAGTCTGTAATATATGTAGGTGCTATGCTTGGTAGTGGTGATTACATAAGTGAGTAACACATCATGATTTATGTCCTAAAGGAACTCACAACATCCTGAAACAGACATTTAATGCAAAGAAATTAATATATAACACAGTGGCATGATGTACAGGGTGATCGTTTTTGGCCAGATAAAGGGGTAAATGAATGTTAAAGATGCTTGTACTGGGGTTTAAAAATGGGTAAGTGGTTGTATGGGGTGAGCCAGGTCTGTTTTAAAATATCTAATATAATATTCAGATACCATGGAGGCAATATCTGAATCTGTCTCTGTGTGTGTACCTCCAGCTGAATCTGAACATAGAGTAGAGTGCAGCTAAGAGGCATATTGAACTGATGATGTTTCCTGTTTGTTTCAGGAAGAGGAACGGGCTAGATACTTCTCAGTCTTCTATCTCTCCATCAATGCAGGGAGCTTGATTTCTACATTTATCACACCCATGCTAAGAGGTTAGAATCTCTTCTGAGGGGCCCTATATAAAGCTTTATTCCTGCCAGCCAAAAATCTGTCCAAGACTTCCTGCTCTTTATTCTCCTCTTTAATAAGGGCTTGAAAACCTGAGAGAATTTCTTTCAATCTTGACTTGTCTGGTTCCAAAGAAGGATTATATATTAGGCGATGGGAGGAAAGAGAACATCTATGTCTACAACCTCAAAAACCTGAGCTTGCAGATAAAACATCAAAGACTCAAGATTCAGGGTTATGTTTTTTCTTTAGGAGATGTGCAGTGTTTTGGGGAAGACTGCTATGCATTGGCTTTTGGAGTTCCAGGATTGCTGATGGTGATAGCACTTGGTAAGTCCAGTGGGGCAGAGGAAGTCTGCCAAATGTAAAACATCATGTAAGCACTTTACACAAACTACTTTATTCAAGCCTCACACTAACTCTTTTAGATTGGTATTATTTTAGGGGTTTTCCTTAAACATTGGAGATAAATTAACTAAACTCAGAAACCTGTTTTTAAAAGCACTCAAGATTACACAGCTAATAAGACTCCTGGAGAGCTTTCAAAAAGACTGATCTCTGGGCTTGATGTAGGACCAATTAAATCAGCTTCTTTGGGGAATAGGGACTGATCATCTATAATTTTTTAAATATCTAGATGACTGTACTGTATAGTCAAGGTTGAGTTCCACTGCTCTACACTACAAGATGTGTGGAAGAAAGGAAGATAATTAATCTTTTCTCTCAAACTAGCATATTTCATCTGATAGTTACTTACCTGGTAATTGGAAGACATTCTTAATTCTTTGGGCTTTATAAAGTTGCTTCTAGGTTTAGCTGTTTCTACCCTACTCTGCAATGCTCCCAAGGCATTTGCTCTCATGTAAAGAGGATAAGAGAAGTTGGATAAGTAGGTGGGGACTCATGCAACTTAGATCAAGTGGCATTCTCTTTGTCACTGATAACCCTGTAATGGAAGAGGAAAGGAGAGGTGTGGATTGCTTAGTTTACACAGTCTAAGAGGAAACTTGGACATGATTGTTTCTAATCATTGACCTGGAAATCTATTTTCACTCTGAACCTTTGGTAACAATCTCATGGAGGATGTCCAGTCCAAACACTTAAAGAACTCAATAGAGGAAAAAGAGCCCAGAGACTCAATGTTCAGTGTGATAATTTTCTCCTAGGGTCTGGCTAATAGTAATACTCAGATTCCAATTCCAATTCCAAGGAAATTTATGTATTATTCAGGAGAGCTGTGATAACACATTCCCTGCTTCCCTCTCCCTTCAAAGCCAAACATTTTCCCTAATAGTTTCCTGGTTTTCCAGTGATAAGAACTATGTGTCCTTCTCTGGATCATTGTACAATAATAATGTTTACATATAAGAGTAATTATGAGCCAAAACAGATGCTACAAGTGAAATTTTTATAAATTATGAAATGCTAAACAAGTACTAGCTATCATTATTATTCAGCTGCTTCAGTTTTCTTAGTACTAAAAAATAACTCAATCCTTTGACTTTCCACTATAATTTAATTAATATTTTCATTAATTCATTTGACAAACATTTGTTTAACATCCCTATAATGTATCTGATTCTGCACTAGATATTGGGGTCATATTGGTGCATGAGACAACTACAGTTCATGCTTTCAAGAAAACTTATAAAAATGGGAACAACTGTAACTCAACAACAATAAAAAATAAATTAATAAAAACTTATATAGCCCAGCAGGAAGAGGGAGACAAATAAACAGGAATTTACAATATGGTATGATCAGTGTCACAACCAAGGTGGTATATAGAAAGCTACAAGAACACATAAGAGGAATGTCTGCATAAGACTTTGAGGGTCAAAAACGGTTTGCCTAAAGAAATGATGTCTAAGAGTAGAAATGAAGAATTAACAGCAATCACTCAAAGAACAGATTGGAAGTGAAACAGAAATAGGAAAATGGTATATATAAGACAAGGAAGTGAAAAATAATATGACATATTCAAAAGCCTTACAAGAATTGAGATTGCCTAGAGCATAAATGAGAAAAATAAAGAAGAGAAATAGAAATCAGATAATGAAAAACCTTTTAAGTAATAAAAGAATTAGAAGTTTAGCAGGACAAAGGAGGGCTACAAAAAGATTTTGAACGAAGGAATGATTGTTAGATTTTTATTTTTCAGTGGTGTCTCTGACTATAATGTGCAGAAAGGGTGAATGAAGAACACTATTTATCTTGATTACTGAACTTTTGGCACCTCATTAACTTTTGTGCTCAAGCTGAGTGCCTCACTCAGCTCATCTTTTCCCAGCCCTGGTAGAATTGACAAAACTTGATATGATTGGATATGTGAAGTGAGGGAGAAGGTAAGTCAAAGTTCAATTTATGGTTCTGACTTGAGCAGATGAGTAGATAGATAGTGGGGTCATAAACTGAGATAATGAGGGAGAACAAGTTTGGGGCAATTCCAATGAATTTACTTTTGACCATGTTATATTTTAGGTATCTTGGAATATAAAACTAGAGTTATTAAGCAGTTATTTGATATCTTAGAACATATAATTAGAGTTATTAAGCAGTTATTTGGAGGTACAGGTTTAGAGCTCAGAATACATGTTTGGGCTGTAGGTAAATATTGAGCACTATTAGTATAAGGATAGTGATTAAGCCATAGCAATAGTGGAAATAACTAAGAGATAACAAGACAAAGGTGAAAAAGAGGGTTAGGATAAAACCCCAAAGAGCACCAGCATTAAAAGATAAGCAAAGACTGCCCTGGCTGGTGTGGCTCAGTGGACTGAGTGCCAGCCTGTGAACTGAGAAAGGTCACTGGTTCAGTTCTCTGCCAGGGCATGTGCCTGGGTTGCAAGCCAGGTCCCCAGATGGGGGCATGCAAGAGGCAGCTGATCAATGTATCTTTCACACATTGATGTTTCTCTCTCTCCCTTCCCCTCTCTCTAAAAATAAATAAAATCTTTTTTTAAGAAAAGTAGGCAAAGAGGAAAAGCCCGCAAAATAGCAAAAGTATTTCAAGAAGAAAGGAAACCATTCCCCACAAATGTCACTGAGTAGGACATTGAATTAATGGTAAAAAAAAAAAAAAAAAAAAAAAGTCCATTAAATATAACAACAAGAAGGTCACTGATTTGGTGATATCAATTATAGAAAAATGGTGGATTCAAGATTAATTGGGAAGTGAATAAGAGATAAGAAAGGGAAAACAGTATTTATAGCTAAAAGGTGACATGGAGTTAAGAGGATATCAAACATGCTTGGCTATCATTGGGAAGACTCCATTAAAGAAAAGTTGAAGATGCAAGATGAAGGCAATGTAATCAGTATGAAAGCACACATGGCAGAATCACTTTTGTGCAGGAGGAGGAACATTACCTTCAACTAACTGGAGTGAGGAAGTTGAGGGAGTTTCCATTTTCTTCTATCATCCACTACAGGGATATGATGAAAAGGGGGTTCTATAATAAATTGACAAGTCCAATGACCAAAAGTAACCTCCAAGAGCTATATGATCATAAATTCCTAACTGGCTAAGTCCTAGTGTGTTCCATGCCCCAGGCATATTACTGTTTTAGTCAAAAGTTTGTCTTTGCCTTCCACAAATCTTGTCCATTGCTTTTGTGCATCTAGGTTAATACACCTTTGAAATGCCTCTTTTCCATACCCCTCAAAGGTGTACCCACCCTTAAGGAGTACATAAACTGATTAACTGTCTTGTATTCCAATCCCTGCCTTGCTTTCTCCTACCTTTCTGTAAGCTTCTTCACCCCATTCTTTAATTCCAAATGCATAAAAGAAACTGCATAACTGTCATTCTCAAGAGCATTTGAAATCATGCCTCCTGGTATTGTCATCAGTGTGGCTCAAATAAACTCATAAAATTCTCTACAGGTTTGGACATCTCATATTAACAGGGAGAAGAGAAACTCAGGGTTCCTACTCATCTTCCTTTAAAAGTAGCCTTGACATTTAAAGGTGACATTTTTGAGTTGATTACCTGGCCTTCCTTTTATCACTCCAAATTCTGAATTGAAATCAGAATCCCTGAAATTTCCAGCCTATTTCTAGGATCATTCTTATTTTCAGGGGCAGTGTATTTCCTATCCAAAATCTTCATCTTGTCTAGATACCTCTTTATTTGCTCACTTATCTCCCAGGATTAGCATTCTCTTCCCAAACTATTTTTTTCTATCAACAATAAGAAGACTGGTGTAGGTAAAAAGTGCTATTTGGAGAAGCATTGGGGAAACTGAGGATGAGTAAAGAAAAGGTGGTAGAGTGAATGTGACTGCGGAATGGAGACATTAAAAAGTTAAGATGAGTAAAAGGAAGGTGATTCAGGCATTCTCATGTCTAAGGATATGGGAAAATGCTACTGAGAAAGGCATCTTTGTTAAAGGATCTGCTAAAGGGACATCTTGCTGGAGTCTGAAAATCCATGAAGGAGGGAAGTACATCTAGAAGGGTAACAAGGTGGAGTCTTCCCATTGATTTTAGCTAAACTTGATAAATTTGAAAAAAAAATAGCACTTTATAATTATAAAAGTCATATCAGCTCATTGCTGATTATTTGTAAAGTAAAATGAAAATAAAATAAAATTTACCTATAAGTACCTGTGGAGGTGTGGCTAAAAGAATAAAAATTGAGTTAAGGGGAAGAGAACAGAATAGTACAGAACAGAATGTTTTGTAGGAATGATGAATAATGATTAGAGCATAGAATACTTAATGGAGAGTAATGAAACATAAAGTGGGAAACAGTGGGTTGAGGTGAGCTCCTCTGTGGACAGAGGCCATGTCTTTTTTCTTATCTTTATTCCTAGTAGTGTCTAGCACAACGTGTTATACAAGAATGAGTGAATGAGATGCTTTATGATGTTTAAGAGCATGGATTTTTTAATCAGACAGGTCTCAGATCTAAAGTGCAGTTTCTGGCAATTTCTAGTTTTGTAACCTTGTACCAGTTGCTTAATTCCTTTAATCTTCAATTTCTTTAAGTATAAAATGGACATAGTAGTACATGTTTTGTGAGGTTAAATCCATTCATGTATGTAAAATGCTTAATATTTTGTATTGACTAATAAACCTTCAATAGATAGTTAGTAATCATAAGGACAATGATGAATTTGGGATGGCCTTTCATGCCCGGGGTTTGGGCTTATCAGGTAGGTCCTGAAAAGACGATTTTAATTTGGCATCAGATAAGAGAAAGAAGAGACCAGGGATGTTGGCCATTTTAATAACCCAGGGTAGAAGCTGTGAGGTCCTAAATAAGAGTCATAACAATGGTGGTAGAAAGGAGGGGGCAGCCTGAAGAAAGAGGACCAAAGAGAGTTGGTAACATATCAGATGGAGAGATGAAGGAAAAAGAATGAGGATTCAAAGATGACTTCCATTTCTGTGATTACAGGAAAGTCTCAACAGATACCTCTTTTAACAGTTGACCATTTTATTCCGTTTTTGGCTTCCATAATTTTTGTAACTCTTAAGTCAGGAAGCGTTAGGTGAGTTTCCTCCCTCTATGAGATGATCTGTTCCTACACTTCAACAGTCTGTCCTTAGCATTGACATATTGAATGTGCTAAATGAGAAGCTAAGAACCTTGTTTGTGTGTCACCTGCAGTTGTGTTTGTGATGGGAAGCAAAATGTACAAAAAAACACCTCCAGAAGGAAATGTAGTGACTCAAGTTGTCAAATGTATCTGGGTAAGTCCATGTATTGTCTACATGCCTTTTTCAATCAGAGAAAGATGCTATGCTGAGCATATAATCTTTGAAACATGGGTAGACAGTTTTCTCAATGACCACTATACATCTGTGCCTTTTGGCAAACTGTCTTCCTCTGTGCTCCTACTTAATCATTAAGTAAAAAAGAAAGATGTAATCATTTTTTTTTAGGTTGGCAAAAATCTTTTGAAATGTAGTTACACATGTTGTCAACAAGACATAAGGATAAATAAAACTATATCTGGAGTATTCTGAAATTCAGTGTCTAATTAAACCAAAAGGTTGGAATAAATTGTTTGAAGCATATGTGTTTGAGGGAAGGGATGATGAATTGGAAAAGGCAGGGGATAATTTCTTTTTTTCTCTCCTCTGATGGCTATGCTCTGCTCTAGTTTGCTGTTTCTAACCGTTTCAAGAACCGTTCTGGGCACATTCCAAAGCGACAGCACTGGCTGGACTGGGCAGCTGAGAAATACCCAGTAAGTTGAAACTTCAGAAATATCTTATGCCTCTGTAGCATCTCTCTTAATGTCCAAACTGATTCTCTCCTGCTGCATTTAATCTCTTCTCTTACTGTTCTGGGATACCTCTACTCCAAGCAAGAAAACCACGTCTAGCAATTCAGCCTATGCTTTCCCTTTCTTGCAGGAGCAGCTCATTATGGATGTAAAGGCTCTGGCCAGGGTACTATTCCTTTATATCCCATTGCCCATGTTCTGGGCTCTTTTGGAACAGCAGGTAAGAATAGTTCTTTTGAAAGCCACCCTTTTTTCCAGCCACTTCCCTCTTACAGAAAAGGGATTTCCCTCTTTGTTTTTCTTTTTTCCTCAATCCCTCCACCCACCCCCCCAGCCTCTCCTCCACCCCCAACAGCTATCTACCTGCTCTCTAACTATGAGCCTGTCTCTATTTTACTTATTAGCTCATTTTGTTCAACTCATAGACACAGACAACAGTGTGGTGATTGCTGGGGGTAGAGGGGTGGAGGAAGGTGGAGGGAGGGTATGAGGGGGATAAATGATGATGGAAGGAGACTTGACTCGGGGTGGTGAACATACAATACAGTGTATAGATGATGTGTTATAGAATTGTGCAACTGAAACCAGTATGATTTTGTTAACCGCTGTCACCTCAAGAAAGAGAGAGAGAGAGAGAGAGAGAGAGAGAGAGAGAGAGAGAGAGAGAGAGAAAGAAAGAAAGAAAAAAAGAAAAAGAAAAAGAAAGAAAGAGTGGGGAGAAAACGGATTTCTCATAATGGCATCTGTCTGCCTTAGGGCTCACGATGGACCTTACAAGCTACCAGGATGAACAGGAATTTGGTGAGTTGAAGGACTTTTCCAGGGAAGTCTGTTATTTTCTTTATAACCCATATTTAAGAGAAATTAATTTATTTGTTTTGTTTTGTTTTTGCCTGAAAACTGACTTAAGGTTACAAGACAGGTGCCTTTAGCATGAAACTTCTGAGTAGGCAAAGTAAAGAAATCAAGTATAGAAATAAAAAACAATCTTGTTAGAAATCAGGAATATAAGGACGGGAAAGGTTTAAATATATGCAAGGAAGTATTGAGAGGGTAGCAAATGAAATGCTATAGACCTGGGGTCATGGTTGGTTTCTTCCATCTAAGCCTGCCCTACACAGCAGAGACAGGTTTAATTTTGCTTGTACACAACTGGCCCCATCTCTCAGGCAAGGATCACAGCGGAGGACCTGGACATGGGGTATTCCATACATGGATATGGAAAGAATGGGAAAGCTGTAAGCATCATTTTGTCTTTTACCCATCTCTGTTCTTTGGCAAACTCACATAAAGTTCCATCTCTGCTCTCAATTATTCTACTTCCTAGATTATTGTCTTGTTTTTCTACCATCTCAGTTGTGAAGAGGATAGGGTGAAACAATGCCAGGGTCTAATTAGCAAGTCGGTTTGCAGCCTGCCAAATATAATTTTACCTTTTTTCTTCCTCTGATTGTCCAGGATTTACTATGATTATCCTCTTGTTGATCCATTGAGAACAACCTTGGAAACACTGTATCAGTGGGAATCTTCACCCTAACCATGATGGTTTGCCCTCACATTATTACCACTTAAAACTGCAGATACTAAGATTAATAAAAATACATTGACTCTATTCTCTCTGAAGTTAAGGAAAGCCTAGTACATAGAACAGAACATTCTTCCTCAGGGCATTTGCCTTCAACAAACAGAGCTTAAAGCCATTTCCAGTCTGTTCCCCAACATACCCTACAAGCATGATAGTGGCCCTGAACCAAAGACCTGATGAATTTTGATTTATGCTTACTGCCTGCTAATCACCAAGATTGTTAATTTTTCCACCTCTAAATTTAATTTATTATAATGTTTCAGGGTTTTATTGTGCTTCAGCCTGACCAAATGCAGGTAGGTTACTTCTTTATAGTCACGGGGACTTATTTTTTTCTTCAACTACACCTCTACCTTTAGTATTAGGATTTCCAACATAATTTAATGTTATTTTTCCTTGTAAACTGAAGCATGCTAAGCATAGGGATGAAAATATTCTCCTTAAGCCCCACACTTCCCTTTCACATCTTCTGTTACTCAAGTAGAGCTCCTGCCCAACTCCAGAGAAAGTGTGTTTTGAGCTCACAGGAAAAGTATAAGCATTGGACTTTTTTACCCATGGCAGAGTAGTATAATGGAAATATTGTCAAAGGAAGTGGAGGGCTTTGTTCTGTGATCAATGAAGTCATAATCTCTGTTCACTGGTGAATCCAAGTTTCTTTTTTAACCCCTTGATCAACAGATCCCAATTCTTCCTTCTCTCCTTCTTTTCTTCTGGCCATGACATTTTTCTTTGGGCTGTAGAAATGAAGAAGATAAGTGAAAATGGGAGGAAAGAACTCCCAATTGATTGACAGAAAAACAAGTTCAGAGTGAAGCTAGCTCTTTGGGATATTTGGAAACTAAGATGCTCTGCAAGTCTTGGGTGTAAAACAACTAAGAGGAATGGAATCATTTTGTACTTAGTATGACCAAAGTGTGTTTGGATGTGAGAGAGAATGCACAACATTAAATGAGCGCACATGCTCACACTTCTGATAGGAGAACACTAGTAACTAACCTTTCTTACTGTGGTGTTACAGGTTTTAAATCCCCTTCTGGTTCTTATCTTCATCCCATTGTTTGACCTTGTCATTTATCCTCTGGTCTCCAAGTGTGGAATTAACTTCTCGTAAGTGCTCATTTTGCCTGTGTTGCTCTAGACTGACTCAATCTTTGCCCACTTTGATAAAGAGCCAATGTTAGTATTTTTCTACTTAGGAATGATTTGCTTTGGTTTATCATTTCTCTGCTTCTGAACACCATCAATACCAGAAGACGGGAATTAGAACTAATAAATTCTTATCATAGGAAGTCTAAGCCATTACTGCAGACTGAACTGTGAAATGTGAAAAGGGTAGGTCTAAGCTTCATGGAAAGTCAAGAGTACATGAGAGGGGGCTCCTAAACCAATTTTTTGCTTTGTTCTTTAATGTTGCCTCTTCAAAGAAGTCTAAAGCTTTTGATGACAACTAATCTCTTTAAATCTCCTATTGTCCCTATGAAACTAGTAGTTGGACCTGGTGAGAGTGGGGATTGAATTGTCCCTATTTACTGCTTTTCTCACATAGAAGTGTTACTCTTTGTAGTTTGGCAGAAGAGGGTTTCGAGCCTCTCTAATTTTTGATTTAATAGCAATTTCCTTTTTATGACTAGTTTACCATATTCAAATGGCCTTTTGTCATTTATTCATTCATTGAGCAAATATTAGTGGCTTCAGCACCAAGTGCCATGCAAATGTAAAAGCACAAACCTTGTCCTCAAGGTTTACTGCTTAATGAGGGAGTGGAATCTGCACACAGATAATTAAATATGTTAAATGACCTAAAAAGGGAGATAAGTGCCAGGGAAGCGTAGAGCAGTCTGCTGCCAGGGTCAAGGAAAACTTCTGAAGAAGAAGAAAATGAAGTAATAATGTATAGTGCCTGGCATTTGGTAAATGTTCAATTAATCTGGCTGCATTACTATTATCTTGTTATTATGACATAATGAATAGAAAAACCATTGTAAACCAAGGTAAATGTGGGAAAGTATGGTGCATTACAAAGAACCATTCAGTGTAACTCCAGTGAAGGGAGAAAGAAGGGCGTGTGATGGGGCATTCTAGGAAATATTTTGAAAAGCAGTGGGGGCCAAATCAGTAAGATCTTCAAAGGTAGGCCTAGGGATTTGGATTTTATCCTTTAAAGTCTAAAGTTTATATATAATTGTCTCTCTCTCTCCTCTGCAGATCGCTTAAGAAAATGGCGGTTGGCATGATCCTAGCATGCCTGGCATTTGCAGTTGTGGCAGTTGTAGAGATAAAAATTAATGTGAGTTCAATAGATATTAAGCTCCATGACTGCAGGACCTTATTTCTCTCATTCACTCTTCTGATTCCCTGGGACCTAGCAGTACTTGTTTTAAAGAAGGTGCATAATAAATATTTGTGATAAATGAGTAGATACAGGGGTAGAACAGCAATGCAAAATGATGCTCATTTCCCACCTGACTGATTCAGAATATATTGTCAAGGGACTTCCAAACACTAATATTCAAGTTTTCTAGCCATTTCTTTGGAAACACAAGCTTACATGATAACTTACCAGATAGTCACACAAATATCTTTTGGCAGATTGAATACCCATTATTAGGGAATGATGTATGAAGCCACAGCTGAGTCAAAAAGCATCAAGTTTGTTACTTGGCATCTGTGCTTGATGCATTGAGCTGGTGTTTCTGCTTCAAAATGCCCTCAGAGTTTTCTAAGCCAAATGCTCTGGAAAGGGAAAAAACTGTCATCCTGACTAGATGGACTAGGCTGTCAGAGATAGGAATGAGATATGTGTTCTCTTTGTAGCCAAAAGTTTTATTGTTGGTAATTCTGACCTGTGTTCTCTGTCCTAAGGAAATGGCCCCACCCCAGGCAGGTCCCCAAGAGATTTTCCTACAAGTCTTGAATCTGGCAGATGATGAGGTGAAGGTGACAGTGCTGGGAGATGAAAACAATTCTCTGTTAACAGAGTCCATCAAATCCTTTCAGGTGAGATATGAACTTGAATGACTTAGAAACACATTCTGGTTATGCACCAAAGCAGCAGCATAAGATCATGGTTAAGAGCATGCATTCATGGAGTCAAACTGCCCCAGTCTAATTTCTGGTCCTACCACTCCCTAGCCATAAGACCCTGAACAAGTTATTTTATCTCTAAACTTCTCTAAGTTTCACCATGTATAAATGGCAATAATTTTTAAGTGAGAAGCTACTGTAAGGGTTAAGTATTACATGTAAAGTGTATAGCATAGTGTCAGGGACTAAACTCTCAGTAAGTTGTTATTTATATCATTATTTCAAACTGCCTCCTAACCATACATCCCCTGAAAAAGTTTGGCCTCTTTGTTTTCATGACTAGTACTGTGCATATTCTGAAATATTTATTTTAGAAGTAATATACCTTTGTTTTTGAAAATTGGGGAGTATGTAGAAAGATACAAAAACCATCTATAATTCCATCACCCAGAAATAATCACAGTGAGCACTTTTTATAACTGAATAAACAATCTAATTTTTAAAAAGTACTCAAACTCTGTTATTGACCTTGATTCTTTCTTTTTAAAAAAATACTTAGCTTTTATTTTTTATTTAAGATTTTATTTATTTATTCTTAAAGAGAGGGGAAGGGAGGGAGAAAGAGAGGGAGAGAAACAGCAATGTGTGGTTGCCTCTCATGTGTCCCCACTGGGGTCCTGGCCTAAAACCCAGGCATGTGCCCTGACTGGGAATTGAACTGATGGCCCTTTTGTTTGAAGGCTGGCACTCAGTCCACTAAACCACACCAGCCAGGGCCCTTGATTCTTTCTTAACATTAATTGTATCATAATCATTTTCCAATATCCTTATATAATCTTTGAGAACATGATTTTAATGGGCACATAATATTCCTATGGATATATCATAGTTCATTTAAGGATTTCCTTATAGGTATTTACATTTTATTATATGTGACCCTATGATGAATATCCTTACTCATAAATATTTATGCATTCCTCTAATACTCTGGTATATTCCTAAAAATGGGTTTACTAGCTTAAAGGGTAATGTTGAAAGTATCTGATGAAGTCACCCGCCGTGGGATGCTCTGAGATTAGGATGTCCAAGATGGGGTAGAAGTTGAGTGTGATAGCTTTTTTTCCTTCTACAGAAAATGCCACACCATTCCAAACTCCACCTGAAGACAGAAAGCCAGGATTTCCAATTCCACCTGAAATATCGCAATTTGTCTGTCTACACTGAGCATCCTGTGGAGGAGAAGAAATGGTACAGTCTGGTCATTCGAGAAAATGGGAAAAGTATTTCCAGTATGATGGTAAGTTGAGAAATGACATAGGTTCCAAATTGTTATCTGAGTGTAATGACTGGCTCATCAATGATATCTTACCAAGGATATGCCTAATGATAAGATTTTCTGATTATTGGTCCTCTGTTGTCAGCTGTAACTGATCTTTACTTTTCTCTATTTAAGGTGAAAGATGCAGAAAACATAACAACCAATGGGATGACAGCTGTGAGGTTTGGATGTCAAGGAGATCCGGGGCCACTCTGTTCTCTTGAATCTTGGGTCTCTTCTGATCTGTGGTGCTTCAGATGATGAAGCCTAACATTCCATTTGTCCTGTGCAGGGATTCTCTCTCCTAGAATGTCAGGGATATGGGTGTCAAAAGGCATTTTCTGGGACATGGAACAGATAGGCTTGCTTTCCTGTGTGGTGTTCAAAGATGACCCTGTATCCATGTATGTCTCCTATGCTCGGATGCATGTATCTCCTCTACTGAGTTTTATCCACTTATCTTGTTCTTAGGAAAATAACTCAGTACTTTCCTCTCTTTGATGACTAGGGAGAAACTTAGAAGTGAGCAAATAATCCTTCATCCTTGGTAGTTGAATATCTCTCATTACTGTGTTTTCAAAGTAAAGTGTAATTTTTATTTTAAACTTACAGAAGCATTATGGTATAATAAACATAGTACATTTGGATTCCAAAGACTTAGTTGTGAATTCAGATAGGGCTCAAGGTCTTGTCAGACAGCCTGGGACAGTTACAGAGATGGAGGAATAAAGAGGTCATTTGCTTTCTGTGGCAGGGATCTGATGTGAAATAGACAGGTGCACATGCCTATGGCCATCAAGATTAAATGGTTGCTGTTAAAAGTTTATAGGACCCCTTTGGTTGGGAGACTATAGGAACCCCGAGAAGGGGTAAAAGGGGAAATTTCTAGATCAGTGCAGGGTTATCTATAGTCCAAGAATCAACTTTAAGGATTCTAGAGGAACTTTTCATCTTATCCCATGGGCCAGAGATAAAGGCAACAGCTATAAAAATAGAAATGTATCAAAAACCAATACTGAAGGAACAATTTAGGGGCCTGATTCAAAAGACTAGAAAGGTAATTTTAGAAGTGTCCAGGATTGCCTGTAGACTCCAAAACAATGATAACTCAACCTGTTATGGGCTGGGAGTCTGAGTTTGCATAAGTTAACTCAAACTTCATTTATAAGAGGATAAAGTATCAGTTTTATATAAATACTGGTATATATTTATATGTACATAATCATTTTTCTTAATGGAGTTTCTGTTGGTGAATCTCACCATTATAAGAGGGAAAGAAATTGGGTGCACCAAGCTGGGTTAGTGAGGAAGCTCAGATTGCCGTGGGCTATCATGATAATGTGAATCCCAGCTAGAGATCAGTGTGAGGGTATGGCAGATAGAAAGCCACTACCTCAGGAAGGAGAAAGGTAGGGACCGCTAAGACTACTGACTACTTTTTACATTTGAGTTGATTCATTCATTCAGTTAACAATATACATGATGTACCTCTTAGGTACCAGGCACTGTTCTAGGCACTGGTATATAGTGGTAAACAGAACAGAAAAGGCCCCTACCCTTTTATTATGTGTCCTTGTTTGGGAAGGTTTGTCTGATCTGTAACAATGTCTCTATCCTTAGGTTTGTTAACACTTTACATAAAGAGGTCAACATCAACCTGGGTAGAGATATCTCCCTCACTGTTGGTGAAGACTATGGTGTGTCAGCTTACAAAACTGTGCAAATAGGAGAGTAAGAACATTCATTACACTTTGGATATTTTATTTTATTAACAATGTTTTAAATGCTTGCATATAGGTGGGGGTGTATCAAGATAGTACATATACCTTGGCTAATTTTGAGTATATTCAGACTCCAGCCCTCTTTCAACCCTTGCCTCCTTCCCTCAGTCTCACCTTTCTCTACACAGATATATTGAGATCATGATTGCTGTGAAGGTAATACTGTGTAGTTCATAAGGCACGTCTCTGGGAGGTATGCAAAGTTTATTGTGGACTCCCACTCCTGTCCTTTGGTACTACCAATTGGCACATCAGTACTTCAAGCTTATCCTTTTGGGTTCACAGTTTTATCCTAAGAACAATTCATAAGACTTACATGAGAAGACTTATGGCCTAGAGTCCACAAAAGATGATTTGTGCCTTCTTTATTCAGATTTAAGTTTAAAAAAATACCTAACAGATGGTGAAGGGGTCAGAAAAGCCTGGCATGAAAATAATTGACTCTTTGAGACTCTTCTCGTAAAGAGCAATGGTGGCATCAAAGCCTGACTCACCATCATTAAAGAAATGAGATCTTTCCCCTGATAATGGGAGGGCTTTTCTAAGCTACAAAGTTTATTCTAATCTAAACTTTTCCTATTTCAGATATCCTGAGGTGCATTGTAGAACAGAAGATACAGACTTTTCACTCAATTTGGGTCTACTAGATTTCGGTGCAGCTTATCTGTTTGTTATTACTAATGTAAGTAGTTCATGGCCACCCCTGCACTCTCCTTCCATATATCTGTATCCATATCTATGTCTATTCTGGAATCCAAAGAAGACTTTGTGGCAAGACAGGATCACATACTTATTTCTAATGTGAGATGATATATTCTTGTGACTTTAGAAAGCCTACTGTGGTCTCCATAGACAGGAGAAAACATTGGCAGGAGGCACAGGGTCTAGGGGAATGGAAGACAATTTATCTTGAGTCATTGCTTTGAGGTAACATGATTGCCTTCAGTCTCATTATGGCCCTAAGAAAGCAAAGATTATTTATGTCTTTCTGACTGACTCCACATGCAAGTCATGAAGGCTCGAAGTCCAAGATCAAGGTATTGGCAGGGTTGCATCCTTAAGAGGGCTGTACAGAAGATTTTTCCATACCTTTCCTCTAGTTTCTAGTGGTTTTCTGTAAATAGCTGGTGTTGGTAGGTGTGTAGATGAATAATCCCAATCTCTGCCTTTATTTTTACAAGGATGCTTGTCCATACAGGGAGAATTCCATGTCCACATTTCTCTTTTTTAAAGAGGACACAAATCATATTGAAATAGGGTCCACCCTAATGACCTCATTCTAACTTGACTAATCATTCTGAAGCAACCCTATTTCCAAATAAGGTCACATTATCATGTATTAGGTGCTCAAACTTCATTCAACAAAGGAGTTTTAGGGGGACACAAGCATACCCATAATGCTTGCATTCCTGGTTTTACTCCATTTTTTGTTTGTTTTGTTTCTCACATGCTGCTCAAGACAGAGACCATATATATTGTTTCTGAATGCCAGGATCCAATAAGCATCTAGAGTCGAGTCATAAATTAGAGGCTTGGGGGCCCAGTTCTTCCATATCCTGGTTTGTTTGGTCTGCACAGTATTAATGACAACAATTATTATTAATTGCCAATATTTAAAATTCAAGAGATTTTACCTAAGAAGCTAAATTCATAACATTTCTTAAAAACAGTATCAGAAAGATTTTATAACAAGAATTACCATGTTAGTTGGCTGTGCTGTAATGGCTGTATCTGTTAGATGGGGCCTGTGCTATCCAGTAAACCACAGACCCCTAATTTCCATTCAGCCAGCCACATTTACTTACCTGCCTATGGGTATTTGAGTATGAGAAGTTGATTTAGAAGCTAGGGTCTTTTTTCTCAAGCTGAGAAGACTCAATTATTGTATATGCCCAATATCGACTAAAGCAAAATTTACCTTACTATTTTGAACCCAATGGCCCTTTGACTCAGAGAATTAACCACACTTGGACATCAAAAACTTTTTATTTCAAGGACTTTTAAAAAAATTGTTATTATTCAAATACATTTGTCTCCATTTACCCACCACCACCTTCCCTTGCCCTTCCCACACCCACCTCCCTCCCTCAATCCCTCCCCAGCTTGGTTCCATCCATGTTTCCTTTACGCATGTTCCTTATTTCAAGGACTTTTCACTTTGACTTTAACTGCCACTTTTTCTCATTGTATATCCAGGTATTACACCTACGATCTAGGAATGGTTTTATTCTAAGAAATGTATATAATTTAAAAAATTCTATTCAATTTATAACAAACATTAGTGGATATAATTTATATAAAATCAATCATAGCTAAAAACCTACATATAATAAAAGTAGTTTTAGAGACAAAAAATTGTAGAATCATGTATATTTGGTAACATTCATAACAAATTTGACCTAAAAAATTTCTTTTGACCAAAATTTTACAGAAAAATTGCTTCTTTTTGAAAATTTCATTGTGTGAGGTTTAAGTTAAAAAAAAAATAATGGCCAGTAAAAAGAATTCAAAATAGCAGGTGGGCCCTGAACAGACTGGCTCAGTTGGTTTGGCACTGTCCCGCAAAGTACAAGGTCACCAGTTCAACTGCCAATCAGGGCACGTGCCTGGGTTGTGGGTTTGGTCCATGGGTGGGGCATGAACAAGAGGTAACTGATAGATGTCTCTCTCTCACATCAATGTTTCTCTCCCATTCTTTCTCCCTCCCTTCCCCTCTCTCTAAAAATAAATAAAATTGAAAAAAAAGTAAGAAATAGTAGGTGGTATTTAATGTGGGGTTTTTAAAAACTGATCAACAAAATTTTCAATATAAGGGCTATCAAGAAAATCATTCCTTCTAATTAAATTTTAGTAAAATAAAATATTTAATGGAAAATGTTAAAAAAAAATCTAATTGTACTTATACAGGACAAGGAATTAAACTATCCTCAAGAACATGTTTTCTGAAAATTCATTGTGTTTGTATAATTCAGATGCCATTTTATATTTAAAATGTTGGTTTGGATCAAAATGCCCAATTGGACGAAATGGTGGGAATCCAAAGTATAATATCAAAATACACTGCCACTTAAGGACTCTGTCGACAATGGTATGTGAAGTCAGGCACATGAGTGCAGTGTTAAAGAAAGGCATTTCAAAAAACTGAAGTTGCATAGAAACTGGTCCTTCTCTTGAGGGTAGCAAATGGATAAAAATACAAAGAGGGGATGGATAAAAAAAATCATAGAATGCTGTAGGTAAGGAATAGTTACTTGAGGCTACTGACAAACCTATTTCTCTTTGCCCTCACAAAGATCACCAATCAGGGTCCTCAGGCCTGGAAGACAGAAGACATTCCAGCCAACAAAATATCCATTGCATGGCAGCTGCCACAATATATGCTGGTTTCAGCTGGGGAGGTCATGTTCTCGGTCACAGGACTTGAGTTTTCTTATTCTCAGGTAGGTCTTTGCAAGTGGAAAGTGAAGATGGACATACTGCTGCAGGGGTGTCCAACCTTTTGGCATTTCTGGGCCACACTGGAAGAAGAAGAGTTATCTTGGGCCACACATTAAATACACTAAAAAAAAAATCTCATAATGTTTTAAATAAATTTATTATTTTGTGTTGGGCTGCTTTCGTAACCATCCTTGGTCACATGCAGCCTGTGGGCTGTGGGTTAGACACCCCTGGTAGAGGATGGTGAATTTTAACCCTGGCACTGCCTTAAATGGGTATATGTCCTATCCAAGAACTTCACATATTCTGGACTTAGATTCCCTATGAATGACCCTGAACAGAGTCATCTTGTTTCCCAGGATCATGGAAGTGTAGAGTAGTAGCCCATGGTATTTGATATCTAGGAAAGAGTACTCAAAAGTTAAAAATAAGGGCTGTGGAGTCAAACTGCCTATGTTCAAATTTTGGCTGCACAACTTATATAATCCCAGGCAAGTGAAATTTTATTTCTATAATGCTATTTTTCTTTACACATAAAGAACACTAACAGAACTAATTTCTTAGGGTTATAATGAAGATTATATAAGATAATGAATTAAAATATTTGATTAAGAGCTCCATTCTGTTATTACTGTGAACATTATCAACACCCCCCTGAATCAATGTGATAGCTGAATTCAGGGGTTAAAGTCTAAATCTGGAAACTTTTGTGGAAGAATTATTCTAGATAGAGGCATGGGGCATGAGGATGGTGCAGGCATTTTATTTACTTACAAACTTGTGTTCTCTCTAGGCTCCCTCCAGCATGAAGTCGGTACTCCAGGCAGCCTGGCTGCTGACAATTGGAGTTGGGAATTTCATTGTGCTTGCTGTGGCACAGTTCAGTGGCCTGGTACAGGTATTGATCTGAGAGAAACAGGAGCTTCTGTCTATCCAAGGTTTCCCCTTCAAAGTCCTCTTCTTCCTCCTCCCCCATCCCTTTGCCTCCCACATTCCTCATGTGAGATGAGTTAGACGCACACAGACTTTGCCAGAAACACAGATATATGAAGTGTCAGTAATGGCCACCATATGCCCATGTGAGGAAAGATCAGTGAATCCAGTCTTCTTCTAGCAAATCCTGCCTAAGTGGTGAGCCTGGGTCAGTCTGCCTCCCAGTTCTCATCCTTTGAAGATCTTCAGTGTCAGGTTTCTCCATTTGTTTTCTTATATTTATTTCTTCCTGCAGTGGGCTGAATTTATTTTGTTTTCCTGTCTTCTGCTGCTGGTTTTCCTGATCTTCTCCATCATGGCCTACTACTATGTTCCTATAAAGTCAGAGGATATTCAGGAACCAGAAGATAAACAGATTCCCCATATCCAAGAGGATATAATCAATCTGGAGACCAATAACACAAAGCTGTAATGACTCCCAAGACTCTGCCCAGCCCTAAATTCCTGACCCTGGTCTTGGTCATCACTGAATTTCAATTTTTTTTTTCCTCCTCTTTGGCTAGCAGGGAGAGGTAGCATCATATCTGAGCTGATCTCCTCTACTTTTCTCCCATGATAGGGGGAGTTTTGGAATTTGAAGTACATTAAAGAGCAAGGCCCCTGAGGCTCTATGTCTTCTCATCTATCATTGAACTCAGTAAACCTGTATAGTGTTTGCGAAGCTGGCCTGGTGTCTCCAAATGGCCATGAAAACACAAAAGTATAATTGAGATTAGTCTCTGTGGACATGCAAAATTATGTGAGAATTCCTTTACCTGCTATTTAGAACTAATGACCCCACTTGCTGAGGTGCCGATTTAGGGGCAAAATTGCAGAATAACAGAGAAATGGTAGTTCATGTTTCTTCATAAGCAATGTAATTGAATATTCATAAGGACCTCAAGAATTGGTATATGTGGTGTGATCTTGTCCAGGGGCTGGCTTATCAGCTACCCAAGTTTGAGAAAACCTTAGTAAACTTTCAGTACAGAATGACACTTTATTAACACAATAGAAGATACATCTTTGTTAAAATTATAGTATATTATCTACTATCCAAAACACCTCCTTCTCAGGGCTGACAGATCCTTGGAAATCAACTTAAAGATAGTAAACATTGGTAAATATGGTTCTGGAAAACAGAAATGGCTATAAAGGTAGAAATCATGATGGATCCTTCTGCAGTACACTTCTCAGGGACTCCAATGTTTTAACCCTGGTTTATGCCTTCCTATGGACAGCTGTGTGCACACTAACTATAATTTTGAAACCCTGTCTTTTCAATGTTTCTGGGCCAGCCTCTTCTCATTATTATATTGTCTCTTGCATATTGCAACAAATAGTTAATAACAGCAATATTTTTATGAATCCATCTTCCTTTTTTATTATTACTCCCCTCAGGCCTCAAATAAGTGGCTCCATTTTGATGACTTTTCTTGTTTGACTTTCCTCACAATTTTTAAATGCCATTTCTTCATTTAGGCTTGGGAATTTCTTGCCATTTAAAAAAAGTTATATTAATACTCTAGGTTTGAGTCTCTAAAATGGTGATGCTCAATGGAGGGGCATGGTTTCATATGAGGATCTTATCACAATATTGTGGAGGGGGGAGAACATGAGGGTATTTTTGTTTGTTTGTTTCTGTGTTCATGCAAAAAGTCCTCACCTTTTTTAACCATGCATGCAATAAAAGAACCCTTGGACAGGCATTGGAATAACCTTGCACACAATAAATGAATCCTTGGACAGACATAGTAATGTCATTACAATATATTGCTGGGAAAAAAGTTCAGAACCACTGTACTACAGGGCCTCATTTTCATTGGTTTTGCTCCATTATTCTTATTTAGAACTGTGTTGAGTCTCACACTGTAAACATAACAAGTAAGAAAGGGTGCTCCTGTTTCCCAAATATTATATACTTTAGTTTTAGTGACCTAGGTTTCAGAAATACTGAAGTGACAGCAGCACCCTCCAGTTTCCTCAGATACCTTGATGTGAACCAGAGCAGCTGGAACTCAATCTGCTCAATGAAGTATTGTTTGAAGGGATGTTAACAGTGCTCTGTGAATAAAGGTTTTTATGGACAAGCAAATCTTGGGAATGGGGCATATTATATCTTCTTAACATTTGTATATTAAAGGTTCTTAAAAATCCTGCAATAAAAACACAAGACACTTTGTATAGCCTAACGTGGTATAGTGTTCGGCAAAACACTACTTTGGGAAAACTGGTAGGCAATCCTACTTATGCAGAACTAAAGCTTCTTCTCCAAAACTTCCTACCACACTGGTTCTTTCCTTTCTAGCTAATAAGGATAAGCATAACCCCCTCTTTGATGTGGCAGACTAGTTGCTATTTGAGGAGAGCTTTCACATCTCCTCCCCAATCATCAAGTAAGTATTCATCAAGCTAAAGGTTCTCAGTTTCTTCAATAGTTCTTCACAGGGCAAAGTCTGTCCTTTCACTACTCTGTTTTTCCTCTTCTGAAAAATATCCTTTGTCTGAAATGCATCAGTGGATAAAACCCCTCTTAATATGTGATCCTAGAGCGAAATCCAACATTCCAGAAGTGGTCTGACCAGAACTAGGATCTGCCTATCTCCAAACAATACATGTCTGTTAACTTAGGTAACATTAGATGTTTGGGACAACTACATCCCAATGAAGGCTTGTATTCTAGCTACATGGTTGGCTAAAATCTCCAGTTTTTTGAGAGAGCTATTGTTTATCCAAATACACCTTTTTGTTCTACTATATGCCGTTCACTAAGTTAGGTGTTGGAAAAACAAAAATGAATACTCTACTACACCTCTGTGCTAAGTTACCTCACTTATTTTAACTGACTGTCAAGATTCTAGAGAGTGAAAATGCCTTAAAGAAGTAATGGAATTGAGGAAGAGCAAGGACAGTATGACAGAACTGGAGTAAGTAAGGTGTGAAGAGGTAGATGATGCAGTCAGAGGAAGTTAGGAACCAGGTCACGTGGGGCCTTGTGACCATGGTAAGACATTTTGATGTTATTCTAAGTGAGGTGTGAAGTGTTGGAGGTTTAGAACATGGGAGAGACATAGTCTGATTCTCCACTTAAGCTTACTCTGGCTGCTGAGTGGAGAATTGTCTGCAGGCAGGCAGGAAGGGTGTCCAGTTAATCAATTAGGAGATTTTTGTGATAATGTAGGCAGGGCTGTTACTCAGACACGGTGGCAGCAGGGGACATGGAGATGTGTTGGAATCTAACTCTAAGGTAGGACTGTCATGATTTAAGTATGGTTTATATATATAGTTTGAAATAAAGAAATCAATGCTGATTCCTAGATTTTGGGCTTGAGTAAAGAGAATGAGTGGTGCAAGTTTCTGGGATAGGGAAGACTAGGGTAAGAATAGGTTTAGTGTGTAACTAATAGTTTTGTTTTATGCACATTAAGCTTCAGCTGCCAATTATCTAATTGGAGATGTCGCACTGGTAATTTCATAAGTCTGAAGTTCAGCTAAAAGGCTGGGGCTGGAGGTACACATTTGAGAGTCATCAGCATATAGATGGCATTTAAAGCCATGACACTGGGTGAGATATCCTAGGAAGTGAATGTAGATAGAGAAGAGGTTTTCTAACATTAGAGGTCTAGAAGAAGAAGAGGATCCATCAAAGGTAATGAGAACGGGTGACCTCTGAAGAGGGAAACAAGGAGAACATCATTTAACGTAGAGAATATATTCTTTATTACAATTAGATAAAATTGAAATCAAAAAAATTTTGACCTAAAGAAAGCACATGTTCCTGTTAGTAAATCTGAGTTCTGGTCATTTCTATGTAAATTTACCTAAATCCTTTTGCTTTCACAATTTAATTCAACTTAACAGAACTTTTTGTTAAAGCCTATCAGACATTATATCAGGAGCTATGGGAGAATGAATGGGTATGAATAAGAAGAGTCTTTGCTCTTAAAGAATCTGAAGAAGGAAGAGAAGGCATGTGCATAAATAGCTATCATTTAAGTAAAAAGTAGTGTAATAATTTGTGTTTGTTTAGCACCTAACTCTTCACACGCATTATTTCAATCTTGAATACTGAAGATAAAATGTGGCCTATGCCAAGGAAATTACATGTTTAAAAAAAAGTTCACAGAAAGGAGAGAATACATCTGTCCATGGGAATTAGGGAAGAATTAATGGAGTAAACATGGAGTAGATAATACTGACCTTGAGGGTAAGTAGAATTTGGACATGGAGACAAGCGACAAGAGAGCATTCCAGGTAGAGAGTCCATCACAAGCAAATGTGAAGAGTCAGGATAACAAAATATTGGGGGAAATGATAAGTAGTCTGATTTGTGTGCCAAAGTAGGCACACAAATGTCTACTTTGCCAAATATTTACATTTTGTAAGTGTCTACATTTTTGTCTATATTCTAATTTTTTGTAAATGTCTACAGAATGCCAAATAGGACTGCATTTGAACATCAAGGAGACAAAAATTATGACTACAGAAAACATATAGAATTTTAACACAGAGCATAAAATTATGACTACAGAAGAAATGCAGAACTTTAACACAGAAAATAGACATTAAAATTGTTAAAGATTTTTCTTATCTTGGTTTGGCCAAGAAATCAAGAGAAGGCTGAGAGTGAGAAGGGCAGCAATGGAAGAATTAGAAAAGATCACCAAGATCCCTAAAGATGTGTCATTTGAGACCAAAGCTAAGATGACCCACACCCTCGTATTCTCAATTACAAGGGGGGACCCAAAAACAAAACTGGATTTACCCTCTGGCAGGCAGGCCCCTTGTAGCACAGGCTTCCCCCACTAGGTGAATGTTGTAGGAACCCATATGTATCAGTGCACCAACTGGCATGGTAAGAGGCTGCCATTTGGCTTCAGTGAATTTTTTTTTGAAGACTCTCAATGCATTTTCCCCTTTTATGATGGGAGATTTATGAGTGCACTTGTCCACATTTTGCTGAGTGTTCAGCAGTTTTTAACCAAAAACAGCATGACCTTCATCGCCCACCCTGCCTATTCACTGATCTTGCCCCAAGTGACTTCTTTTTGTTTCCCTGGATGAAAAAAGTCCTCAAAGGGAAACGTTTTGCTGATGTGGAAAAGGTGAAACAAAAAACAGCTGAAGCACTAAAAGGTATCAAAATCGACAAGTTCAAAAACTGTTTTGAGCAGTGGAAAAAATGTCTTGATAGGTGTATTGCATGAAGTGGAGAGTACTTTGAAGGTAACTAAAGTTTAAACATGTAACAATAAATACACAACTTTTTATAAATAAATTCTGGGTGTTTTTTTGGGTCCCTCCTCATACTATGAACAGATATGAAACTTGGACAGTGAAAAAGACTGAGAGAAAAAAATGGATTCATTTTAAATATGGTTTTGGAATAGAGCTCTACAGACACCCTGGACAACCAGAAAGATGAACAAGTGGGTCCTAACAGGTTTCAAATTTGTCTACTTGTCTCCTTTCTCACTGCCACTATACCAGCTGAAGGCATCACCATGTCTCTAAAGCACTACAACAGCCTTTTAAGTTTATTTTGTGCCTCCAGTTTTTTCCTACATTCCTGGCATTATCATCTTCCTTGCAATATAACTCATGTGGCTCTACTTAAAAGCCTCTTTGCTCCCTATTTACTCTAAAGATAAACTTCCAACTCTTCAACAAGGCCATCTGGCCCTGCCTTTATCTAGGCTCATCTCTGCCAATGGCCCTAGTCAAGCTGCACACACCTACACAGAGAGATCCACTGAGATCTTAATTAGGGTTTTATTGCATCTACAGTTCAGTTTGGGGCAAGTTGGCATCTTTACCATTTTGAGCATTCCAAATCTCTC